CTAGGTAGAACTCAGGAAGACTCCTAACTCATTTCTGGGAATGATAAGAGGAGAAGTGGAAAGTGGCAGGTTGGTCAGCTCTTATATGCACTCTATGGGACCCTCTGGGGAGATACCCCTCATTAGTCCACCTTAGAGAACTAACCAGCAAGCAAGAGCTTCTCATTCAAGGTCATATCTACTCCTTGGGATACAAAGGCCCAGCCTTTTTGCTCCAGCTCAGAGCAATACTGAAGAGCCATTCCCAATCCTGAGGTGGCTGTGACCTTTGTTTTATCTGTACACAAGAATACCTTTCCTATCTTTTCATCACTTCATCTTTCTTCAATCCATAGTGATTCTCACAAACATGCCTTAGGATATAGATTGTCCATTGATCTCCAACACAGAGTCTTAGTTCTAAGAACACAAGAAGCAATACTGGCAAGTAGTTCTAGATCAAAGGTCACAAATTATAGGCAGGCTAAGTCCGTCATATCACTTGCCTTTGTACATAAAGCTTTAGTGGCAACAGCCGTATAAGCCTATGCATCACAATGCTTTCCCACCAAAACAGTAGAGCTGAGTAAATGCCATACAATGCATGTGGCCTTCAAAGATAAGCACATTTTCCTTTGTTAGAGGACAGGAGAGAGGAGAGGATGAGAGGAGGAGAATAAATGAAATGGGAAGAGAGTGTAGATGTGGGAAGAAGAGAAGGAAGGAGACAAGAGGGAGATAGAGGAGGAGAAAAAGAAGAGGAGGAGTACAGGTTAGTGAAGGGAAAAGAAGAAGGAAGGGGAGGGGAAAAGAAAGAACAAAAGATTGTTTCATTTAATTCTAGATTATTGGGGGTGAGGATACATTTGCAAAATAACATTTCTTCCCATGCTGTCTAAGCTCTGTAAAAATAAGTCCTCTATGGTGAGAAAGCTGAATTCAGAAGGCATCTTCTCTTCAGGTAAGTCTGATGTCTAAATGAAATAAAGCTATATCATTATGTACATCCCATATCTAGAAATATAAGCAGATTTGGTATCCATGCAGTGGCTTGGCAGGGGCTATTTCCTTCCAGCCACTCAGACTAATGCTTTTAGAGCAGTGGTTCTCAACCTTGCTAATGCTACAACCCTTTAATACAGTTCCTCATGTTGTGGAGACCCCCAACCATAAAATTATTTTGTTGCTACTTCATAACTGTAATTTTGCTATTGTTAGAAATCGCAATATAAATATTTGATATGCAGGATATCTGATGTGCATTCTCCAAAGGTTGAGAACCAAGGCTTTAGAGCATGTACACTGGCCATGGCCCTACCACAGAGCAGGGCACCATAGTCCTTAGTCTTCTCTCCAATAGCATCTAACACAGTATCTTGCTTTGTATCTACATGGATGTCTCAGGGAGGAAAAGAGCTTCAGAGATGGATCACAGATACAAAATGAACTAAGCAACAGTTAATGTATCAGAATCAATAATGAATCAATCACACAAACTGAGGTCAGAATCATTTAGATTAATATTAGAAGACTTCTTTTTAAAATATGTATGTGAGTACACTGTAGCTGTCTTCAGACACCAGCAGAGGGCAACAGATCCCATTTCAAATGGTTGTAAGCCACCATGTGGTTGCTGGGAATTGAACTCAGGACCTCTGGAAGAACAGTCAGTACTCTTAACCGCTGAGCCTTCTCTCCAGCCCCTAGATTAATATTAAAAATCCCACACAGTGGCACAGAGACCCAGATTTGGGTTAGGGAAGGAGCTCCGAGCTGATGAGCTTTAACTAAATTAATAAGTAAACTTATTACAGTTTATCAGAAATCCATTTGTAGCCCACTGTGCCACCACCCCAGGAGATGCTCCTGAGCCATCTTTAAATACCACTTTCTATGGTGACAGTGGGGACAGACCCACTACTGGTTACCACAACACCCTGACTACTCTGCCCAGTGTTATCACTGGCAAGGAGGCAACAGGAGCCACAGACACAGCTGTAGCACTTAATGGATACATAGACTTAGGTACGTCATTTTATCTTTAAGCCTTGTTTGTCTTGTCTACAAGATAGCCATAACTGATACTTTCCCTACAGAACTGTTTAGATGATTTAAAATAATGGCTATAAGCCAGGATCTGGCATTGGGGATTTTAACAACAAACATACCATTATTATTCCTCATGCTGATGATGAGCACAGGGTAGTAACAGCGATGAAAGCTTCCCTCACAACAAAGGCAGAGTTTTGTATGATGTTTCCCTCTACTGTACCCACAGGATGCTCACTAACAGTAAAGACAAAGCATCAAGGAGCAAGAAGGTAGGCAGAAAGAGAATCAACTCTTAACCTCAGTCCCAAAGGAGAAGCGAGTACCCACACATTTTGCTGGAAAGTTTTCTCTCAGGGGATAGAACCTACCAGTTTTTCATGATGTAGCTACATGTATCTCATCTCCCCACCACCACCTTAGGAGTCTTCCCAGGTACTTATCTTCGAGGCTTACTCAGTAATACCATCTAGAGAACTTTCTATCCAATGATCTAGTGACTATAGCTAAAATTGTCTTGACTCTATCTATAGACTCTCCCATGCAGCACCTACAAAGGCAGCTGAGTGTCAGCAAAGTGAGGCCAGAGGGGATCCTGCTTGGGTAGGGTTCAGATAAAAGGAATAGCTTCAGACAGTAAGAAGGATGAAGCCCATTAAGTGTATGTAGCCACAGGAAGCTATCGAGAATGCCTTGATACAACGTCAGTTGCTGAAAGGTAATGCATGGGTCCTCCAAGTCTTAATGAGCATGGCCATGGTCTGAGAGTACTTGTGTTAAGGTTAAAAGGCTCTGTGAGGGTGGGTGGCAGATGAGCTTGCAAATGCTCCCTGCGATAATGACACACCCTGTACCAGAATAGACTGTGATCATTAGAGCTAGTCAATGATGATTATAAACTTCAGGCAAGAATTCTGTGGCATGGAGAGAGATGTTTCCTCATTATCCAATAAGAAACGGAGCCCACTGAAAATTAGTGTAGACATACATGAGTGAGAGTGTACGCAAACAAGGTAGGTGTGTATGTGTGTGTGCACATATATGCATTCATGCACACTAGAGGCACATGTCCCAAACAATAAATTACCCCCTATTCTAATGAAGCACAGCTTTCTAAAAGACATAGGGCTCTCTTCTGTCCTTTGGGCCTTAGGGTTAGGAATTATTTCTTTGCATGTCTCCTCAATCCTTAATGTTTTCTGTGGTGTTGGATATTAGGATAGAAACTGCCGAGGTTCACATGATACTTCTTCTCTTCAAAAATTCCATCTGGGGCTCATAGAGAATAGGAACTAAACCTAAGCTTGAAGACGACATTCAAGAATACTAATTACTGAGTGAAGCATAAGTGCTTGGAGTGGCTACGTCACTGTCCACATTCACTGAGCTAGAAAATAGAAACGTGATGCTCAGGGTTCTTTGAGCCTCTGTGGCTTTCTTCAAATGATAGGATTCAGTCCTGTGATTTAGAGTCAGGCTCTAAATACATTTACAGTCTCTATAATGCATTACTATTCCGAGGGATGTCAGCTCCACAGGAGGCAGAACTAACCTCCACTAACCTGCCTAGGAACAGCCAGCCTCTTTTCAAAGCCGCAGGGAAGCCACTCTGCCCTGAGACGTGTTTGTGATCTGGATCTGGTTATTTTTAAAGAGCCTTTGGTGAGATTTTAAAAAAATTTCCAAGTGATTATTCTATATCGTGAAACAAAGCATCTAGTCACACTCACCATAGAGTGCAGTCGCTCTATTTCTGGACTCATCATCAATAAGGAGGATGAAGCGTTCAGCTTGAGTATTTGTCTTAAATACAAAAGTGGCGTTTATCTTTGGAACACAGAACGACTGCTTGCATTTTCTTGCATGCAATGAGTCTGTTGATGCAGGCATTTCAATAGTTTAATCAATCCAAAAGCTATATTGAATTGACGTTAAAGATCTCTGAACATTCAATATATCTACACTTGTTAAAATTAATTACATCATTTAACACTTCCACATGCATTATAGTTTTTAAGTGTTTTACAGTCATTTTTATTAATTAATAAATGCTAAATGGATAAGAAATTCATGCTATCAAATTATCATGCATATGCTGCATTTTCAGTTTTACTATTATTTCTTTCAAATATTTTCCCCAAGTGGAAAGTCCATGACTCATAAACCAGTCATTCTCACAGAAAGTATAACTGAAACAGAGACAGAGAAATCTGGGCTGCTTCCCTCCCTCCAAGACAGACTTGTTTCCTCTCCTGAAAGCCAAAGGGTCTCAGGGAAGCTCACCTGGGAAATTCTGTCTGGCCTTGAAATAGCAGAAATAGCAAAAAAAAAAAAAAAGGCCAGCCAGGATGCTCCAGACACAACCCAGGACACATGATTCCTTTTGCTGCTGATTGGTAAGGAACATTCCAACTTTCCCATTAGAAAACATGTTGTACTTAACTACACACACACACACACACACACACACACACACACACACACTATTATACAACTCCGGTGTAGTTTTTAAATGTTGATGCTAATGCATTTATCAATCATAGGATTAAAAAGTAAAACCCTCAGAATTCTAGAACTCTCACTATTCAGTTGTTGGACCCCTGTAGAGTTAAAAACAAAATCTGACTGTGGGTGATGTTTTATTCTACTTACCCTATTTTGGAATGTGATGTGAGCATGCTCTATTTCAGCTGCTCTGGAAGCCACTGCTTGCTATGAGTTGCCTTGTATGGCCTGGCACTATTGTTGGGATAAGGATCTTGAGAGAAGACTTCTTGCTATCTACAAATGTATCATCTGAGAACATCTGTCTAATCAGATGTCAGGGCTAACTTATGAGCTGCTGACTTGGGGCAATGACCAAATGCTCAGTGATCAATCTACTGAGATGAGTTGTGCGGAAGAAATTCAATAGCACTCCCTTAGCTGGACACTGATATTGGGTACCCTCCTGCAGGTGGACATCTACTCACCAGCCCTGTAACTCCAGCCAGGAATATGGATTGAGAGTTGGTTGGCATGGCTGCTACTGGTACATGTTGCATGGTCCTCTTTCTCCTTTCGTACTGGGACCTGGTTCCTTCCCATATCTCCAAATTCGACATTTTCCAGTGGAGGAGAGCCAGTCCGAGGGCATGGGCCACTTCCCAAATGTACTGGCACCAATGCTGGGCTCTCCTTCCAGTGACCTTCTTGTGGCTGGCCCCATTGTGAGTCCTGCTTTCCCTGGAGTTCCTGTGATAGAGCTCTGTTGATTGGCTCTCCATTAGCTGGGCTGTCTACTCCATCTGCTGTTAACTGGTGGGAACTACAGCGAAGGCTGAGAGACAGGACAGACCTGTGCATTTTGGGGCTAGCAATTTGAGGTTGCTCAAGGGGGACAGAAAGAGACTTGTCCAAATAGTAAATGGCATTGGGACAGTGCTGAGACACCCGGAGGTGGACACAAGAACTGAACACCACTGGGACTTTTTTTGATGGTGAATTGTCTGAAGAAAAACTGTCCTCATTGTCATCCATTTGGGTGACCCAGTAGTCCTGCCTTGCACACAGCCTTGAGTGAGCCTGGGAAACCTTCAGTCCCTCTGCGGAGCCATTGCTGGGGAACTCTGTACAGGTGAACGGTCTATTATGCTGACATAGATGAGCACCACTAGCCAGAACTGGGGGGCTTTGGAACAGAGCATCCTTGGCCTCACAATTGGGACATTGTGGGTCCCTAAAAGTGTCCCATACCATGTTGCTGGCTGGAGGGCCCACACGTCGGGCAGTAATGGTGATAGATGAGAACCCACTGTGGGGGACTTTGCCTAGATTATCCCGCGTAGACAGTGGTTCTGTCTCTAGTCTTTGTTCATCCGATGGAGTCAAAATTCCTAATTTGTCTGGAGATAGAGCAAATGGCCTGTGCGTGCTCACTCCACCGTGCCTGGGCAAAGCTGGCTTTGTGGGATGCAGCTGAGGCTGAGCAATCGCTTGTGGCAACACAGCTCCATTTTCCACTGATTTCTTTCCATCAATCAGCCGGGAAATGACAACAGGTGGTATCATTCTTGTGTTCTGTGATGCCAATGTCTCCTAGAAAGTAGAAAAAAAATCTCAATTATTCCAGCAGTTCATAAGAATACAGGTAGTGAACTCTTACAGGTCGTGGGGATGCTGGAGAAGGAACACTTGAGTTTCTCATTAAGGCCTTTAAGACACTCTTGATTCCAAACCTGAGCATTCTGGAGGGATAGAGACCTAGGTATGCTTGTGAGCGAGTGATGTTCTAGACACCTTAGGAAAATCAAATGGCCAAATTCAGTTTCCCAGACTAGTCAATCAGCTGGCTTCTCTTACCAGAATGGCATATACCAAGATGGATGTATACCAGTATACAGAGTATAGCTGTAGCTCACTGCTACTCTGTGGGAAGCATTTGTCCACATTTTAAATGATCAAGGAATTCCATACTTCCTAATTAGCACTCCTTATGTAAATGACTACTGTGTAGAATAAGACACTATGCTTCTTTTCTCTTTTACTTTTTTTGTACCATGTCTAGCCAGATTAAGAACAAAAAGGAGAATCCCACTCTTCCCCCTCTCTTCTTGTGTTTTTATGTATGTGTGTTGAGTGCTGCAGAAGGCTGATTCCAGCCCAGCACTTAGTGTGACCACAGCCCAGCACTTAGTATGACAGAGCCCTCTGGAGCTTGTGTACAACATCCCACAGGCTCTGAAATAATGATTTTTTAAAAAATCATTAAAAACAAACAAACAAACAAACAAACCACAGCCTTGGAAGCCAAAAGGCATCGCTAGGATACACACGCATTCAAGAGCAGATATCAAACCCTAGCGTATCTGAGAATCACCCTGAACACTGAGCACAGCTTCCCCATCAGATCTGGAATCCTGAGAGTAGAGTACTAAGGACTTTAGCCCACATGCACGCACTAGTGACCCTGATGGAGGTGATTTGGGAGCGTGAACAGAGTCACAACTGGTCTGCTGCCATTTCAAGAAAAAGCATTTATAAGGGGTAGGCCCAGGTACCATGAAAGAAAGCCTGGGCTTTGCCTTTCCCAAGATGTAAGAGAACAAGGGTAGGATCTGAGTTTCCTTTATGGTAGTTTTAATATTCATTTGTTAAATAACTAAGTGTTCTCCTCTATCTGAGCACGTGACTCTGCATACAACCCTGTGATGACACAAGCTAGAGTCATTTGGGGAAAGGGACTCTCGATTGAAAAAAAAAATGCCTCCTTAAGACTGGCCTATAGGAAGCCGGGCGGTGGTGGTGCACGCCTTTAATCCCAGCACTCGGGAGGCAGAGGCAGGCGGATTTCTGAGTTCGAGGCCAGCCTGGTCTACAGAGTGAGTTCCAGGACAGCCCGGGCTATACAGAGAAACCCTGTCTCGAAAAACCAAAAAAAAAAAAAAAAAAAAAACCAAGACTGGCCTATAGGCAAGTCTGTAGTACCTACTTTCTTGATTGATGATTGATATGGGAGAACCTAGCCCACTGTGGTAGATGCAATCCCTGGGCTGGTATTCCTGGGTGCAACTAGAAAACAGGCTGAGCACAACATGAGGAGCAAGCCAGTAAACAGCACCCTATGTAGACCAGCTTGGCCTTGAACTCAAGAGATCTGTCTACCTCTGCTATCCAGATGTTGGGATTAAATGCATGTGCAACCATGCCCGGCTCCCTCAGTTTCTATGCCTTTATTTACTTTTTAAAGTTATGTGAGAAATCACAAATTTCAAAAAATAACCAGAGATGGGGGTGGAGAATGGGGAGTCCGTTTTAAACCTCCTTCAGTGTTTAAAAACAAAAAGAGTTTTCAACTCTTGGACAAGGACAACACTTCGAGCATCTCTTCCAGCCATGCTGACATCTTCCAATTCAAGGTCATTCTGCAGTTCAAGGTCAACCTGGTTGAGTCTCCAGCTGCGAGGAGATGCCTCCCTAGCACCTCTGATGCTACAGTGCAGCACAATAATTACCTGTAGTTTGAAAGACCCAAATGCCCATGCCTCCATCTTAAGACAGATCGGTAGAAGCTAGGGGGCTGGAGACAGGTTAGAAGGAGTCGGTGCTTTTATAGCATGTTTCCAGCAGGCTTCCCGTCTCTGTAGTCTCTGTAGCATTCTCCCTACTCCACTCTTCTCCCTGTAGCACTCCCATGGCTACGATTTGCATACAAGAAAATGACAGTGCACCTGGAGCCCATTTGACAGTACACAGTCCCTCCCATCCTAGTTAAATTTAGTTCTGATAATAATTGTTCCTGTGCACCCCACGATGGGTGTAATCATACCCAGTGGGAATTCCTTTGACATTGATCTTTGGCGGAAAAAAATAAAACCCAACTTGGAACCTGCAGTGTTGCTCTTACTCTGCAAGGCAGTGTTTCCTCAAACTTGGGCCAGTGACAACCCGCGCTTAAAAATCTCACAGGGTGGGGGTAGATATCTGAACACCTTAATCTCCAGGCTTAAATTGAATTAGGACCTGTTGGGATGAGGGCTAGAATCTGTATTTGTAACCAACTCCTTGGTGGCCCTTAAGGGTACATAGACATAGAGGAAAGAGGGTGAACTGACCTACATGACTTGGAACCCATCCTGAGGCATGGTTTGCAGAGGCCCCAGACCTCAGAGAAGCCTTGATTTGCATGGCTATATATAATCTGAGAAAAAGATTGAAATGGAGCCTGTTAAAAGATAACCTTCCTGGTACTGGAATCACCAATGTCAAAGGGCCCCCAATCTTGGGGGCTCAGAATCCTGTGAGAGTCTGGGCCTCAGAATCAGCATGACTGTATTGTTAGGAATAAAAAGCTGCCAGTTCTGCTTGGAACTCACACAGAAAGGACTCTGATACTGGCAGTGACAGTCTGGTTCCCCCAGGCAAAGCTCAGGGACATATTTGCTGAGGGCTTCCTTGGGGGCACAGACCTCGGGCATCATCCCAATAGGTCCTGGAGGCCCAGGGGAGCCTGGATAGAGTCAGCTGCCATTTCACTACCTGAGGCCTGCAAAGTGTGACTGTGATTTCTGACTCCATCAAAAGGAAGAGGAGAGGGTGCTAATGAGATGTGTGAATCTGAACTGATTTCTCAAGCTCTTGTTATTCAGGGTGACACTGTTCCTGGCTGAATCAACACTGCCAGCCGCCGGTCAGAACCATGCCCAGGAAAAACTGTCTCATTCTCTTCTTCACAGGCAAGGTATGAAGAACAAAGAGAGATGCCAGTGTGAAGGTGTCTCTCGAAGTGAGCCTTGTTTTAGTTTCATTTCTGTTGCTGTGATTAAAAATACCCTGACAAAAGTAACAGGAAGGAAGGAAGGAGGGAAGGAGGGAAAGAGGGAAAGAAGGAAGGAGGGAAGGAAGGAAGGAAGGAAGGAGGGAAGGAGGGAAGGAAGGAAGGAAGAAAGGAAGGAAGGAAGGAGGGAAGGAGGGAAGGAGGGAAGGAGGGAAGGAGGGAAGGAGGGAAATAGGGAAGGAAGGAAGGAGGGAAGGAGGGAAAGAGAGAAGGAAGGAAGGAAGGAAGGAAGGAAGGAGGGAAGGAGGGAAGGAGGGAAAGAGGGAAGGAAGGAAGGAAGGAAGGAGGGAGGAAAGGAGGGAGGGAGGGAGGGAGGGAAGGAGGGAAGGAGGGAAGGAAGGAAGGAAGGAAGGAAGGAAGGAAGGAAGGAAGGAAGGAAGGAAGGAAGGGTAGGTAGGTATATTTCACTCACAGTTCAAGGTATAGTCCATCATGGAAGGAAAGTCAGAGCAGCAGCAGCAGCAGCTAAAAGAAGCTCATCACACTGTGTCCACAACAAAAAGGCCCCGGATTTCACCAGTGAAATAGTGCAACTCACAATTAAGATAAGTCACACAACAGCTAACTTCAAAGAAACCCCCACAGGTTTCTCCCAGGTGAATCATCTCCCAGGTGATTCTAGATTTTGTCAAGTCAAAAGTGAACATTAATTATTACAAGCATTTGTGTATATTACATTTCCTATGACTCAGCAGAGGTTAGTAGATAACTGACATGATCAGAGCAACAGAAGCATCTCACTGAACTTGCCTATAACTGCTTTTTGGTGTTGTCTATAACATTACAGTTACAGGCAGACCATATGCTTAGTGATTCAGGTGACAAATATTTATTGAACATCTATCTACATACCAGGTGCATATTGAATATTATAAACCCCTGTGGTCTGCTGGAATTAACTGCCTAGAGACAGTATCCAAATGATCAGAACAATTGTTAGATTGGGGGTCGACAAAAGATCCCCAAAATAAAATTAGGGAAATTACAAAGGAAACCAGAGACTTTTCACCCTTTAACATATATTCCAATATTCCTGTAAGGCAAGTTTTATTTATCAAATCTAGTTTTTTTCACTGAGACCAATAGATAAATATAATATTCACCTAGAGCTGGGGCGATGGCTTGGTTGGTAAAGTGCTTCTGCACAAGCATGGCAAGCTGAATTTGGATCCCTAACACCCACATAAAAAGCAGGACACAACAGGATGTGCCTATAACCACAGGGCTAGGGAGGCAGGATCAAGATGACCATGTCTCCAAAAATGAGGCTAAAACCAATCAACAAAGACACTGATGTCAACTTCTGGCCTCTACATGCACAGGTGAATACAGCTACACACACGCACACGCACACACATACATACACATACACTGAGAAGAGACAAATTATAAAAGTACAGTTTGTCTCAAATCAAACTACTTTGGAGTAACACCCCTTCTGCCTTTTAACTAAAGGTTAACTAAAGGTGGCTTTGAAGGGAGATATCTTTCATGTAAAATAAAGTTAAAAGATGTAAGACTTGATTTGAAAGAATGTAGAAAACCATCAGTTTCAAAAGTGATACATGTTCAAGATGAGTGACAACCGGGCTGGGTTTGAGTCTGGCTTTGGCAATAGACCATCTCCCGACCACTGTCTTCTGAGATTATATTTTTCAATCTCTTGCATGGAGACGCTGCTGTTGATTTCTTTGAAATGTTTTAAGATATTGATTTATTTTAAGTGTTTCCAGCATGATTTTGTAGAGCTGGTAGCTGTTTTCATAGTTTCCCATTTCTTACCCACTGCGTTTGCTTTTCACTTTCGCCTTAAGGCATATGACTAAGAAGGCCATCATTTCCTAAGTTGAAATAAGAGGCAGGTAAGTGTCAGATACTCGAAGCAATCCCACTCTGAGCCACTGAGGTAGAAATGGCTTTCTTCCTGCAGCAATTTATATTTCCAAAGGAGAAGCACGCAGTATGATCTGTCTTTGAAATATGTATTTCTCCCCACTGGGTGAGACAATTCTTTCCTTTGCCAGTATAGCTCTGCAACCTATGACTGCATTTTCCAGATTGGAATCTATCTCCTCATAGACACCCACTGCCTCCACTGCCTCTGCTTGCTGCATACCTGCTCACCTCCATAAGGCAGACCGAGAAGCACCATTGCTGAGTAATCTTTCAACCTCAGGCTACTGTGTCCTGGATACAAGAGCAATTCAGACTTGCATTTACTCGTCTGAGAAGCAACGGGGATGCAGAGCTTCAAAACACATGGGAAATAGGAGCCTTCCTTGCTCCTCATCTCAAAGCCATTGTCTTTCCACACAGTCACTGGAGACTAGAGAGTTCAGGCATGCAATCCAGCAGTAAAAAGCTGGCTAGAATCAACCTTTCACCTGTGTTTTTACTGTGGTTAATAGAAGAGTTGCCATCTTACCCACTCTGAGTGTACATTTCCCTGTGTCAAATGCATTCTATAATGCCATGCAGCCCTCACCATTTCCAGAACTCATCTTGTAAAACTAGGATTCTGTTCCCATTAAATAAAAAGTCCCCCCTCCCTCCTCCTCTCAGCCACTGGAAACCAACGAGAATCAATGCTTTTAAATAGGGGGAATTGCAGCATGTGCAATTGCCTCATATAATCGGCAGAATTTAAAAATAAAAAAATAAATCTCTTAAACGATGCAGGATTTGTTCATATTGGAATAGTGCATGAAAGAAGAAAGCCATGAGAGTTGATGTGCATTGTTAATGCATGTTTTTTAAGCACAGGGGAAATAAGGAAAGGATAATCAATAAAGGGAAATCAATATTTTTGATGTACACATTTCTGTATTTTCCTAAGTTTCTCTCTTGTGTGTGGCCATTTGTTTGTGTACAGATGCACCAGCACACACACACACACACACACATACACACACACACGTACAGAGTGTGTACGTGTGTGTGTGTGTGCGAGCATATGTAACAGTGTGTGAGTGTATGTGTCCAGAGGTTGATACCAGGTGTCATACTCTGTTGCTCTCTGAGACAAAGACTACTTCTGAACATGGAGCTTAGCAATTTGGGCAAACCAGCTAGACAATAAATTACTCCTGCTCCATTCCCATGATGCTGGGGTTACAGCTACACACCACCATGCTTGGCTTTTGTGTGGATTCTGGGGATCTAAACTCAAGTCTCCGAGTTTATGAGACATATGCTGCACTGACTGAGTCATCTCCCAGCTCCCATTTTCCTAAATTTCTACATGATATTCTCATTAATTTTAGTATCAGGAAAACTTGAATTTATATATATTTTTAAAAGAAGTGAACATGTCCCATGTTTTACTCTTAAACAACCACTTGGCAGAAGAGGCACAGGCTTGATATGCTTGGGGAGGGGAGTGATGAGAGAGGCTGAATATTAGGGCACTGACCCAGGTGAGGAATCTGGTGGAATGCTTCAACACTTGGCAGTGGCCTTATAACACATACAGGACAAGCTTTCAAAGCTTCTGGTTAGAAGGAAAAGTTGAAAGTCACACTAGGGATTGGATTAAATGGATCCAGGCAATTCCAGAGCAGATGTTGAGAAGATGTGATTTGCAGATGACTCAGCCACAGAAAGCGACTGTGCTCAGGTTCTCTCTCTCTCTCTCTCTCTCTCTCTCTCTCTCTCTCATTCTCTCTCTCTCTCTCTCTCTGTGTGTGTGTGTGTGTGTATGTGTGTGCATATGTATGTGTCTGCCTCTCATACACACACACATGAGGGAGAGATAAAGAGGGAAAGAAAATACATTTCTATATTTTCCTAAGTTTCTTTCTTGTGTACATACATTTGTCTATGTGCAGATACACCAGCCCATGTGTGTGTGTGTCCAGAGTAAGTACAGGTGCTCTCTTTCTTTCTTTCTTTCTTTCTGTGTGTGTGTGTGTGTGTGTGTAGGAAGAGAGAGAGAGAGAGAGAGAGAGAGAGAGAGAGAGAATTAGGCCACATGGCTCCAAAGTTCTGGATCATCCTTAATTACCAAACTAATTAGTGTTAACATCAATCAGTAGGACAATGCTGGAAATTTCCAGCTCCTTCTGGAAAACTGAAGGGAACTATGGTCAACTGAAACATTTTCTTCCTTTCTATGATGCTGGGATAGAACCCAGAGCCACATATGTACTATGCAAATATTCTAAGATTGTGTTGTATCTCTTGCCCTAAAATCTTTCTTATGAACATAGTAATTCATATCAGCAGTGTTCCCATCCTTCTGAGACTCAGATCTTCCTTCCCCAGCCTCTCCTTCAGCCTCCATTCCCAGTGACCACAGTTTCTCCTGCTTATGCCCCACCCACTTCCTGCTCTGCTCCCAGGAAACAAATCAAGTACACCAATTCGTGTTAAATTCTTGTCACAGTGTGCCCCTCTAGAACAGACTTTGAATGCCAACAACTATATCTCACATCTTAGGGTCCAGAATAGCATCTTCACTGGTTAGTTTTTGTCAATGTAACACAAGCTAGAGTCATCTGCAAAGTAGGAATATCAATTGAGAAAATGTCCCATCATACTGGCTTATGGGTGTATTTGCGAAGTATTTTCTTGACTAATGATTGATGTAGGAGGACCTAGCCCACTACGAGCAGTGCCATCCTTAGGCAGGTAGATCTGGACTGTATAAGAAAGCTAACTGAATAAACCAGAGAGCAAGCCAGTAAGCATCATTCATCCATGGAGTCTGATTACGTTCTTGCCTCTAGGTTCCCGCATTGAGTGAGCTCCTGTCCTGGTTTCTCGTGATGGTGAACTTTAACCTGTAAGCTAAATAAACTCTTTCCTTCCCAAGATGATTGTGCCACAGCAATAGAAGCCAAAGTAGAATAGCATCCTTTACCTTGGGATATTGGGGTTAGGGACCCCTGAATCCTTACTAAATCAAAGATATACATTTTTGAGAAAAAAAAAGACATGTTTATCTCTTAATCTTTTATAAGAACATATTAATACAACACAGCAGGTAAGCTCTTTGGGGCCAGACCTCCAGAATAAAGAAGGAAACAAGAGCTTTGGGGCCTGGCAGCTTAAGTGTTTTAAGATTTGCATGTGTGTGATGCATGGCTCTGCATCAAAGCTTCATTTTGCCTTTTGCACAAAGAGTTAAATATCAGGACTCCCACTCCGGGCCAAAAGAATAATCAAAATCATTTGACAGAACCTAGGGGATGTGATCTAGCAATGTTAACCGCTGTGTACAGAGTTCTTTAACCTCTAGTCTGAATCACTTCATTATACAAATTTGACTTCTAATTTTTTGTATCTATTTCACACTACTGATACTTTTTTTTCAGTTAAAACAACCTGTACTAGCTTGTTTTATTTCAAAGTATTTCCTCCTGGCCTTCACAATGGTACATGGCACGATATTCTGGCTCCCCTCTCCTACTCTCAAATTGAAATAGACCATCCTACTTTTTTCTGGCACTACAAACTTACACATTGTCCGTGATTACTGAAGAGTTACTTTAAAATGTACATATAGATTCTATACTTTCCTATAAAATCCTTAATTACTTGTGGTTGGATTTTTCTGGTTCATTAATTCAACATTTGACTAAAGAAAAAAAAAACCACAAGCCTATAGCCTATAGAACAGGCCAGCAATCACATTTTTACAGTCCAGCACCTTTAGCTCACTAGAAGGCACAAAGGTGTGTTACCTTGGTGAAGTCCAACTTCCTCTCTGTAACATCAGACTGGAGGTTTTTAAGGGCGATTTGATCATTTGCACTATAGCGAGTGTGCAGTAATCCTAGACAAAAGGAGATGACACGGCTACTTTTAGTACACTGAAGGATAAAGTAGAATGCTAGCCTCAATTTAATATGAAATTTAATGTTCCCCCATCCACATGGTATACCAGCCAATAGCAATTCTGGTATATTTCAAGCCATGACAAAACCTGTGTCCTTCCTTCTTTGTTCCCATCACTCCTGCTCTTGGATCTCAGTAATTATTGAATCCGTTACTCAATACAGTAGAATCCTTCCCCATACAGTGGTTTCTATCCTCTAGATTCAGTAAGTGATTGACCAGCTATGGCCTTAATCATGTTTCTATTGTTCCAGGTTTACACTCAGAGAGAAAGAAAACTACATTCTACTTCCTTTAGCACCTCTATAATCGCAGCATAAATACAAGACCGACTTTTAGCCAGTTTCTCAATGCCACTGCAACTACAGGGAGAGTGGGGACCCAGGCACTGGCTGTCAAACTGTTTTTGAGAAAGTGAAGGCGTTTTGGGTATAAGAACATAAAGACATCTAAGGCTGTGGTCAGGCCCAAATGTGGATGAGGACAGATACATGGACAAGACAAACTTCTTTTGGTTTAAGCTTCCTGATGGATCGATGTTTAACATGGCCTGTCTGACCGCTAGAACTCCTAGCAGAGGGGCTTTTGGGGAAAGCACCTTTTGATGAAAGCAAGGAGCATTTTAAAGTTGATCTGGGTCCTGAGGCAGGACTGAGACAAGCTTAGCTGCAGACCTACAATGACAGCAACCCCAAGATCTCTCACAGTAATATTGCCAGGATGTCCTTACAGAAATGTGAGTCAAATATAGGGAGACCTGGTTGGAAGAGTCTGTGCAAGCATAGCCAGAGTCCTAGTCTCTTCAGACCAGGGGCAAAACATTGTCTCCCTATGACTACACTCTACAGAATGTGATTTTTTAAAAACACACTACAATGAAGTGTTTTTAACCCCTGGTCCTGGAGTTTAAACATGTCAAAAACAGGCTCCCTAAATCTAACATCTTATGTCAGAATTCTAGAATATGATGAAATTGGGCTGGGGTGGGGACTTCATCTCCAGTACCATGATAAGATTTCCTGCTTGTTTGAATAAAGTTAAAACATTTTTTTGTCAGGGGGAGGTGGGTGAAAAATCACATAATGTATTACTGTTAAGTTTGGTAGATTTCTGAAGTGGTCAGGATTTGACCTTGGGGGCTTTCAAGGGTCATTTCTAACCCACTCAAAGCCTGCCTCAATTACAGCCTGTCTTTGAGTGACAATGGACCTCCATTACATCCTGTCTTGGGCTGTGGTTCCGTCTATGACTGTCACTGGGTGACAGAGGGTCATTCAAGGTGACGTGCAGATTCCTTTCTGTGAAGCACTAATGTCAGACTTGAAGGGTTTGGTGGGTGCCTGTGCAGCGTCAATGCTTCATGATGGTCAGACGGTGAAACTGGTGAAGACTGAAGTCACCTGAGCTGCTTGTGTAGCATGGTATGAGTGTGAGAACATTAAAATACTCACAGTCTTGGGGACCAGATGGGTTTTTCATGTGCTCTAGTTTGGCCCTAGCTAACCTTCAGTGAATCAGCTGTGGACCCTGCCTTCATCCATAAATGCAGAAAATGATACCTCCTGCAGAAACACAGGCCTTGCCTTCACTTCTCTGGGACATACATCCTCATTAAAGCACTGGGCAAGGATATCAGGTAAATATGCCATAAATGGCTGAGGGTGATATGAGTCAAGGCATGAGTCAAGGCAGTTCTTTGCCAAAATCCAACATCACTAATGTGGTGGCACTAACAGGTCAGGCAGCCACTAAAATTGCACCACAGAGTCCCAGGGTTGGAGTCACAGCTCTGGGTACATGGGTGGCTTTGAGCACATTGCTTTAGTATACGTGGGTTCCTCCCTATGTGGTGAAGGGTATGGAGGTGGTTACTTCACAGGGTAACTGGAAATTTTTGAGTCACGCCCACTACTGGGAGTGAATAGCTTCATTTTTAGGGGGGAAAAGAGAAGGCTGCTGGGACTAGACAGCATGAGTGATTAAGTATGAGCTTCCTACACCTGCTGTAACAAAACAAGACAAATGCATCCTCTAGAGATATCAAATCTAACACTGGGCTAAAATCAAATTAGCAGCCAGGCATTGCTTTCTGAGGGTGCTAGCAGGGGATTATTCTCCTTGACTTTTCTTGCTTCTAGACATTATTCATATTGCTTAACCTGTATCTGCCTCATTCCAGCCTCTGCCTTTGCTTCTGTCCCTTCTCCTTGACTCTTCCCTACTCTTTCCTTTGAAGAAGGGTTCCTGGACCAGAGTGAGCCCACCTGGACAATCCAAGGTAATGTCTTCATATGAAGAATGTATCTGAATATGGGCATATTTGAGGGTATCATATTTCTTGTATCACAGTAACTGGGGGAAGATTCAGGTAGGTAGAATTTTAGAACCTTGAAATATGCATATGACATCTATGTAACAACACAGAAAAACATTTATAATGACACACAATGGAAAGAAGCCAAAAGCCTGTGATTGTGACACTAATACAGTATATGAGGCAATCTACAAAACCAGCAAAGTGCCTGTGTGGGGAAATGGCCTTTCATGAAAAGAGCTGGCCTAGATTATGGGGTCTGAGCAACTGAAGGATACATGCCCAATTAGGCTTTGTGTCTGAAGACTCACAGCTGAGGTGTCAATTGTAGTGATATAGGTGCGACATTGTTTGACCTCACTGCTTCTGTTCTCTCCATCTACAAAGTCAGCATATGTAGCTGATGCTGTTGAGTCCTCATAGCTTCCCCATTGCTGGATTGCTACTCTATTCCTTTGCTGTTTGAAACTTGCTGTCCATAGCGCAGAGCTTCCGTCTCCCTGAGAATCATTCTCCACAAGGGACTAGAGCCACCAACCATGGTTATGATATAAAAGACCATGATAGAGCCAAAGGCCAAATTTTACCTTGAACAACATCCTCACTCAGGTCTCCTCCACTGAATACCCTCCACTTGCCTATGGGTCATCTCTTAAGAATGGTCTATCTATTCTTGAGTGCTCTCAATTGTCTGAGGGCTTTGATTCTTGGGGGAAAGCTGTAATGGCTAACCACCCCTCAAGGCTATCCCACAGCAGAGTTTCTCCAAGTATGCTCCTTCAGCAGCAGGACCAACATTGAAGGAAGTGATAAGAAACATATGTTCTAATAATGCCACCAGCCAACACCACCCGCAGATCCACCAAGTGAGGATCCTATACAGGAGTGTAGATATTCATCCATGCTTCAGCCAGTTTTTCGCACATGAGGCATCACAAGTCCAACATGATCTCAGACTAGTAACACCCCTTATGGATGGTATGTCTGATGACCCAGAAGGGAACCATGGTGCTTTGATTCAAAAACTACCCTTCAGCTCTCAAAGATCTGTGCCCCACATGTATGCAAGGGGACCAAATGATGCTTCACTTAGTATAAAACTAGCAGCAGTGGCATCAGCAAGCTGATATTTATGATACAACAAATTAAAACCATCTAGTGACCTATGGTCATCATTGCTGGTGCAAGGCATTTAATGGTCTGGTTGTTTGTCCATTTACTAACTCACTAGCTTACACTAAGAGATGCTCTCCTGAGTTTGTTGGAATGAATAATCACAGTTGTATCTCAACTCAACCTGAGTTACATACCCAAAGCTATTCTACTCCCTGGTCTCGCTCCAAGTATCCACAGCAGGCTGCACCAGTACCAACAAACTGAGCCATCCTGTCAAAGAGACAGGCCCTGTGCTGAGCAGCAAGAGGTGGGAGGGATTCCCTGCTCTCCATAGGATGTCAAGGCAATGTCATAGAGGATTTGCTATTACAGGCCTCCGATTGACACAGGAAGCTCTTTCAATTGAGGGGGTCAGGAAAAGTTTAGTGGCCTCGACAATTTGGCATGCATTAGAGACATTTCTCATCGCTGTGGCAAAATGACTGATAAAGGGAACTTAAGAAAGGTTTGTTGTGGTTCATAGTCTGAGGTTACAGTCTGTCATGGTGCATCAGGGAGAGTGGCTCGGACTGGGGAAGCAGCTGGCCACACTGAGACATGGTGTCTACTGTAGGAAAACGGGGGTTGATGCTGGTGATGCAGCTCACTCTCTCCTTTGACTCTGTTCATTAAATTCAGTACCCCAGGCCATGGGGATGGTGCTGCCCATCCATGCTCAGGAAGTCTTCCTATCTCAGATAAACATCTCTGGAAACACTCTCACAGATACATCCAAAGGTGTGTCTCCTAGGTGATTCAGAATTCTGTCAAGATGACTATGAAGATTATCATAGGAGAATTTAAACAGAAATGGGAAGGGATGGGGGAGAAAGTAGCATAACCAAGCAGAAGACAAAAGCAAGGGAGAAAGCAGAGCAAGGTAAAGTATAAGACAAGGGCTACTCACACATTGATGACTCGTAGGATGTACCTACAGAATAATAAATTCCTACGCATTGTCTAACATGACTCAAGCTGTCCCTACAAACAGCAGACAACCGCCATTGTGTATTGCCTAATGAACCGATCCACCAATGCCACATGGAAACGGGAGTGTGTGGGGGCCTGTGTGTGCCTGAGTGTACTCACTCACATCTAAGGCGCTGTGACAGAGGAGAGGAAAGGTGCAGACGCCTTGCCCTGTTCTGGTAGATGTTGTAGAATAGCATTTCTAATCGGACAGGAGTCAAGGCTTGTTCTTGATTGCCACTGCCTCCTTAACAATAGCTCCTTCCATTGTTTTTTAAGACACATTTCATAGAGAAAAGTCGCTTTTCAGATTTAGATTTCACTGTCTCTATGGGATTTAACCTCAGTTGAGCCTCTAGAGATTTCTATTTTGGACTTCTAGAACGTTGTATTCGTCCGTCTACCTTTCTGGGTTCTCTTCTTGATGGTTTCTGTTTATTTCTACTTCCCCTTAACAAATACAGGTGGAACAATCTAGCCAGAGGGTTCAGGTCCCCTTTATGAGTAACATCTTAATGGTACTAAAAAAAGATACTTTAAAAGCTTACAGCAGAGCTCTTTCTAGTCATTCCCAACACAGTCTTTCTCAAAAGGGGATCAGTTAACTTCCCTAGAGCTCTCCATTCCATCCATCTTTTCTATGTCCTTAGTGAGTGCTCATATTGCCCCTACCTACAGTACAAACAGAAGCATTACCCTCAGCAGCCCTGCCTTCTCTCACCTCCTGGATCCTCCCACAAGGCAAAGCTGGTTTGGTAGGAAAGCTACCCTCCATTGCATCAGTATACTTTACTTATGCTCCCTGGTCTTGGCCAGCTCACACCTGGGCCAGGGGTCACAAATCATATCTCCTTGCAAGCTTGGCTATCTCTTCATAACACCACCAGCAGTGACCACATAGAGAGGATCTAAGGTTCCTCTTGTTAAAAAAGCTTTCTTCTTCACAATATGGCTTAGAAAATAAATATAACACTGGAATGTACATATATGATCACACAGGGGCTCAAGAGAACCGGTACAGGAAGCCTTGAAACAAAACTACTTCACATCCTGGATGTGGGTACCTTCAACTCCTTCACAACCTTCAACTGACTGATTACAAGTACTGCCTCCCAGTCCTTCCTTGGGCTAACTCCTAACCCTTTATCTCTGACACAGTTCAAAGTCATCTCCTCTCAGAAGGACTCTCTGAGTTGTCCATATCTTCAGCTACCTGCCTCAGACCTCTATCTCCATTTTCCCACATCCATCTTTGTCATGGGCGTATACCTCTAAATCCCTTTGCTTTTGTAAAGGTTGCAGCCACTGGGTCTAGAAACCACCCTAATTCAGTGTGATCTCCCCTAAACATAACCACATCCTCAAAGACCACATTGTTCAATAACATCACATCCACACCATCAAGGATTTGGTCTGCTACATCTTTTTAGGGGACCCAAGTCAGCTCATAGCCCCATCCCAGACAAGTGTTATAACATGGTGTTCTTTCTTCCACTTGCTAAGCAGTCTGACTCCTATAAATATCTCCTCTTTTTCTCTGGAACTTGGTACCTAGGATGTCAGGTCAGGTGAAGACATTAAATATGTACAAGACAAACATAACATTTATACTCTGAGATCTGTGAGGAAAAAGCAAGAACATACCTTCCCCAGACAGTTTAATCATGTCCCACTGATGTTTCAAAGCCTATTACTTCATTTCGAAGACCATCTAAGGACAAAGATGTGCCTTGCTAAATCAAGGAACATGGCCACAGTCTGCATCTATAGCTACAACACTCTCAGAATGAGTCAGAGTCCCAACCTTCTGCCCTGATCCAACTGACAAAATCATCGGAATGTTTACCTAGCAACCAGGTGGTAGATAGCCACCTCAAGGCCATTTCTTGTCACCACTAATTTGGGATTAACATCTGAGATTCATTTGACAAGTAAGATGAGTTTCAAGAGAATGGTTTAAAAGCTTCCTATAGGAAAAGTTAGACATGAAAAGGAAAAACAACAACAACAAAACAAAATAACAACAAGAATCCTTTAAGTACCATCTGGAGTCAGATTTCTTTCCAACCTGTCCCTACTTTCTTAGATTTCACTTGCTTTGACTATATTGGTTCCTTACTAAACAGCAAGTGAGTTGGTGTAAAACTTTCTCTGGAGAACTGCAAAGATGTCTCAGAGGTTAAGAGTACGCACTGCTCTTGCAGAAGACATAAACTGGGTTCCCAGCACCCTCACCAGAAGGATCACAACCATTGATAATTTTAGATTCATGGTATTCAACATCCTCTTCTGGAGTCTATGAACACCTGCACTCACACAGACCTACACTGAAATAGATAATTTTAAAAAATAGAAAGAAATATATTTTTAAAATTTCTTAGCCGGGCAGTGGTGGTGCACGCCTTTAATCTCAGCACTTGGGAGGCTGAGGCAGGCAGATTTTGAGGTGAGTTCCAGGACAGCCAGGGCTACATAGAGAAACCCTGTCTCGAAAAACCAAAATAAATAAATAAATAAATAAATAAATAAATAAATAAAATTTCTTAGGACTACATATACCCAGATAAGACCACAACATTAAACAATTTAATCTGCTTATTGCTAATTTTTAAAACTAGTCTAGATCAACTTCAGGAATATGACATTCTTTCTACTGTAATAGCTATTACGGTTGGCTTTTCTACAATCAAATATCTTTGACCCTAGAATATGAAGAACATTATCTTGTGACTTATAGATGACTCAGTCTGAAGTGGCTTCTCCAGTTATTCTCCCTTATCTAGGAAGGGAAGTAGTCAAGACTCAACTAGAGGCCTAGAATTGCAGATGGGATCAACTAGCTACATATTATGCTGGGAAACCTATGACAAAGTGCAATTTAAAAATCAGGCAGAATGCTAGATTGACAGCAGTAGCCAATAATAAAGCAGGAACAATTACAATAATATGCTATGACAAAACTCTCTTTGTCCCTCTATCTATGTGTGTATGTGCGTGTTGTATGTGCCCATGTGTGCCTTGGTGCACATGACTGTATATGTTGTCAGGAGTCCTGAGAAGGGTGTCAGGTGTTCTCTATTACTCTCTACCTCATTCTTTTTAGGCAGGGTCTCTCACTCAACCTAGATCTTATCTTTTTTTTTTTTTCAGCTAGACTGGCAGCTAGCAAGCCCCAGCAATCATTCTATCTGCATGCCCCTCAGGGCTGGGATTACAGGCATGCATGGGACAATGTCCAGCTTGTTACATGGGTGTTAGGATCTGAACTCCAGACCTCACTCTGCTCAACCCGAACTGAGCTCATATCCACTGAGTCAGCTCTCCAGCCCTCATTCTGGACTTTTTTTTTTAAATGTAAGTTCTGGGAAAATGAAACTCAGGTCCTCATGCTGGTGCCACAGATGCTTTACCCACTGAGCCACCCCCACAGCATGCGTAATGCAACATCTAACAGGTGACTTGTTTGCTTTTGTAATTTCTCACTTGCTACTCTCTGACTATGGTTGGTTACTGGAAACAAGGTACAATCAATGGACCTACAGGTAAGATTGTGGTTAACAGCACAGTGATGTGCTTGCTGTTTTAGCTGTGATGGAAACCAATGAGACCCTGGAGAAATGACTGAACAGTGAACATGTGAACAGAAGTCCCTGTGCCGAGATGGCCCTGGCACACATGAACTGCTACTCAAGCATGAGATGCAGCATCCAAGACCAAAGGGGAGATATGGCCAGCTGGATAATTTAGGACCTTCAATGAAACAGATCATTTGGGATGCTGACAGCTTTATGTTCCGGGATGAGGCATCCACCGCGTGGTCATTATCTAGATGAGCAGTGCCTTTGTAAGCAGTTAGGCAAAGTGAATGCCACTGACTGACCCCAAGGTGTATCATCATCAGCTCACAATGAACTGTGGACTGACCCTGAGGCAAATGTTGACTAGATATTGTCCACATAATTCGTCAATTATGAGAGTAAAATAGTGACACTCTTAAACCCTGTGGATTTTTCAGTCCTAGAGAATCTAATTGAGCAAGATCCCCAGAGTATGAGGGGCAGTCCCTCTGCAACATGATGGAGTGATGCTGCTGCTATGTAGCAGAGATGAGTCTCTTCTAGGGAGACAGCATAAGGGGAGTATCCTCAACTGTGAAGGTCACTCAACACGATAAGGCATGTACAAATCCCACATTCATGGTGTTTGTATACACAGCATCACCACCACCACCATCCAGCCTTAGTGCAGTACATGTTCACTAAGCTCTCAAGTAAAGCACTAGGAGAAGACAGGCACACAACACTCAGAAGTCCCTGGATCTGAAGAGTCCATGGCCTAATGGGGGTGGGGGAGATGTGACATGGAGATCTTATGGGTGACTTAAAAATGTTGTAAGTATACATAATGTAACATTTTCCCTTTCTGTCACTTTTAGGCATGTGTTTGGTGGCACTACGAATAGTCATGCTGTTACACCACTCAGCTCCCAGAACTTCTCCTCTTGCAAAACAGAAATCATCCTTACTTTCAACCCCTTGCTGCCGTTCCTCCAGCCTCCAGCCTTTATGAGTTCCCCAGCAGTAGGAACAGCATCTGAGTTCAACATGCGAGCATCATTTGTGACTGGCATATTTCACATTATATAACATCCTCAGGGTTATACATCTGTTGGAACTCCTTGTCCTTTTGAAAGCTGAGTAGCATCCATCATACAGATAGATGCCATCCTGCCTATCTGTTTATCCGTTTTTTGTTAGCTGGCACTTGGGGTGCCTCTGCATCTTAGCTGCTGTGAAGAATGCTCAATACAGTGGATGCACAAATATTTGAGTTCTGGCTTCTCATCCTTTCTTGCAGGTTCCCCTTTGTCTTTCAGTCTGCAGCTCCAATTTGATCTTACGCAGTTCCTTCTTAGGTGAACATACAGCAGCTCTTTCACACGTGGAGACCAGGGCACCATCCTTGAGTGCTACTCCTCAGACTTTAGCCAGCCTTAGTTTCTGACAGTGTCCTTGGCCTGTAACTCCCCAACTAGTCTAGGTTGGCTAGTCAGCCAGCCCAAGGGAATCTCCTGCCTTCACTTCTGCAGCACTGGGGTTACATTACTGGGTACAACACTGCCCAGTGTTTTTCTTTATTGGTTCTTGGGGGTTGAACTCAGGTTTTCCAATCTCCCCAGCCTTGTGGTATCTTCTTGAAAATGTATGTATGGGGAAAAGGTAGACGCATAGATCATTTTAGCAGTCATATTAAACCCTCCTTTTTTTTTTTTTTTTGATGGTTACCATTTCCTCCTAGGCTACTGCTTGTATAGAATGAGGGGAAAATGGGAGGGGGATCTTGATTTGAGCCGGTGATAGGTGGTAATAGATGGCTGCCACTGAACACAGGCGTTCAGTGTTGTATGGCTCACTAGTGGGCAACCTGGCTTAGGCAACCCAGGGTTCAGGTATGGTGACCAAACTTCTTGCCATTCCTTAGCAACCTAAGCAGAGAACCAGAATCTGTGTAGTAGGAACACTTAATGAAAGAATAGAGAAGATGAGAATCTTGTCTTTGTTCCTCTGGCTCCATGAGGGCACAGCATGGTCATCTGGGAAGAGGCCTGGTAGGCAGCAAGGACATTAGATTCAAACCCACTCAGTTGCAGCCTAAGCAGGTTGACATCCCTTCAGGACCCAATGTCCCATCTCTGCTTGGGCTTCTGAGCAATGTCCTATTCTCTTGGAGTCCTATCCTACCATGGCTGGGGCATTACGTGTTGAGGACACATGAGCTAAGGTGTATGGAAGAGGGTTGTGATCTCCACTTGGAGTTTTATCCTTTAATGAAGAGGAAACTGGCCTAGTGTGCATCAGGCTTCTTCTACTACACTTTCTTCTCCATCAGACTTGCTGAACACAAATCATCATTATACCATATTGAAGTCATGCAGCCATTCGATTTCATGGGAAGCCATTATTCAGGCAAAAAACTGGGGACAGTGACCAAGAAGAGGAAGCTCCCTCTCTAACTTCAGCCTGAGTGACATCCAGCCTGTAATAGGATCCCAGTTATCCAGGTCATTAGGCATAGGCTTGCGGCATTCTAAAGGATAAGCAAGGGTGATTAGATTCTAGTTGAAGGCTAGAGGATGTCCAAACACCAGGACAGAAAACAGGACATTTTTGAAACCTCTTCACAAGATGACCCAAGGTCACCTAAACCCAGCTGCCAAGCATGCACTCCAGTAACATCAGAAGAACTTGTCAACTTAGGTTCATTAGAGAAACAAAATGCAAAGGTATTCTCATAAGATGTCATGGCGGAACAACGTGACACTTGTGTATGGGACTGCTGACTTCTTTTCGACAGTCTGTTTAACTGAATTGGCCATAACTGCAAGCCTGGTTCCTGGAGCCCACAGAGATGATTACAAGCTCCGCCAAGAACTGGACAAATGAGGCTGGCGCAGCGTCTGAAAGCCCCAAGTGGTAAATCTCTCATTAGAAGAGCCATTAGCTGCACACAGCACATCAGGTGGCTGGGTTAGGGAGTGAGGAGAGGCACCATCACTGGGCTGGATCTGAGAGCACAACACCAGAGGAAAAGCCCAGGCTTGCAGAGGCCTGTCCACATCCCTGCCATTAGCTGGCTCCCTGCTTAGAAGGCGAAGTAGCCTCTACAGAACTCCCTAACAGCTTATCAGCTATGCTGACCAATTAGAATGAGGTTGCTTTCACCTGGAAGGCTTTCCCCTAGAGTTCTTGGGCTTTTCATCTCAGTTGAATGCAGTCGCAAGTTCTCAGTATTCTCCGTGCTA